ATTGGCGTGCATGCTATTGGGCCCTAAACGGTGCTGATTTTACTCTGTTTTCAATGGGGCTTGAATTAGTGGACTGGACCCTTGGGTCCGAGTCACAAGCCTTGAGTCTGAGTCACTTGTTTCAACTTATTCATCAATTTGGTAGGTTTTGTGCTGTGCATACCTAGAATTCTGTGGGTTTTGCTTAACATACTTCTTTTTCAGAAGAGCTTTCTAAAGAGCTATGGTTCATGACAAAGGAAAAGCTAAGCTTTTTTAATATCAGAAAGAATCCACCTAACTTTGAACATAAGCAGGTATTGCTTCATTCTTTATGAAATGCCTGCATTGCTGACACAGGCTCCAGGGCTATTAAACATACATGTTTGCCTTTTAATGTTGCAGTTCTGACCGGTCAAATGGAACCCGAGGCCAACTGGTGTTGTTTTGTAAACTGCTGATGATGTGTGGCACGCTCTGGTGTAATGCCAGATAGTGTCCACCATGTATTACATGAAGCTATATGGGGCATATTGCACAGTGTGTATTCAGAAGTAAACACTCCTTGGTAGCAGATGACACTTTTTGGCATGACACCATAGGGCCAGGTGTGCGTGTGCGGATGAGAAGCTGCGGACCCTACATGCAATTTTTGGAGGCCCGGCGTCAAGTTACGTTAAGAATGAATGTTACGTTTGTCTCACAAATTTGTACTTTTTTTCTTTTCAGGAAAATGCATGAATATAATTTGAGTCACGAGAAACCAAGCTCGAGTCCAAGTCATCATGGTCGAGTTGGTGTCATTGTACAATATTTTACAATGTGACTGAAGTAGAGTCCGAGTAACACAAGAGTCGGAGACCTGGACTCAAGTCCTACAACACTGCTCAACAAAGTGAAAGTATTGAACAAATTTGAAGTCAACCACTTTTTTGTTTGATATCTCAATCTCCATTAGGGATATCATTTCTATGGTTTTGTTTTTACAACAGTGACCTTGAAATTTGACCAATTGAGTACAAAGCCAATAAAATTTTTATTATACAATTCAAGACTACACCAAGATTAATCCATACACATACATGTATGTCCAATTCTTCAGGAGTTATGGTGGGAAAACCAGCTCTAATGTTTTAACAAATACATGATCTTAAACTTTTTCCTATGGGTTCAAAATCAACAAGCCTCTTAGACACCAAGACCATTCTACAAACCATATTTTGAAGTTGATATGTCATGTGAGGATGCATGGAAAAATAACCATGATGGAATGATGACAAGCAGTGCAGTAGTTTTTAGTCCAGTGCAAACGTGGCTAACGATACAAAATGAACTAACCATGTACTCTTGTTAAAAGTCATACATGTACTTGGTTTAAAACTGGCATGCCATCATTTTGACAAAAAATGGTACAAAATGTTTATTTTCCAAATATGTGTTAAATACTGATTGAGGAATTCTTCACAAGGGGTGACTCTAACAAATTTAACAGCAACTTTTGAAATAGCCAAGAGGCTACTCTACCATTAATGTCAAGAATCCAAAGTTTCACAAATTCTAAAAAAAATTACATATGTACATTATGATTGGACATAGAGAGAGTATATTATTTCTGGTATAGGGTTTTTGTTACAGCCATGTTTATACAGCAGGTGACAGATCTGGCACAAAAAAAATAATAGGCTGATGATGCCATCTATGAAAAGACCTTCAGTTTTTCCAGATGCACCACAGAGCTAGAACAGCTGCCATAATGTAATTTGTGCTTATATGTACATGTACTTATATTGTGCATCAAAACTATGTACACATGTGACCAAATTTTTGACTTATATTATGTGAAAATGACACTCAATGTACATGTACATGACACATCAGGACTTTTACTGGGGCTACAGGATAATTGAAAATACTTTAAAATATACAAAACTTTGCTTAATTGTCACACCTAAAGATAACTTGTCTGAACGTTGCATGTACTTGCACGTCCCTCAAGTGGAAATTGTCATCCCCTTGATAATAAAGTTGAAAAAAATGGCAATGACAACTGTGTATGTTGTTAAAACATACACTTTCACTAATGTGTCTTAGCTAACTTGCTAACAAAAAAGGACTTAAGAGAAATCAAATATTGCCATATTTCACTATTTTGTGTGTTTAATAAAATCAATACACCTAAAAGAGTATCCATCAAGTTCCCCTTACATCCCTATAGGACCTTGAATGTATGAACATGAGACATCCTACAGAAACGAAGGTACATGTACATGTATATGGAACTGAACTGCAGGAGACTATGCAGATCTAACCTCCACTTTGGCTTTGGCTGTGGGCACTTTCAGCTATTCTGTTGACACTTTCACTTAATAGCTCCCCCATCAATGTGGCCACTACCTCAGGTTCCATTTCATCACTGTCTCCAAAGAGTACTTCTGGAGAAATGAAATGAACCAACAAAACCCATTGGAAACCCTAATTCAATTTGCATTTTCAAATTTTCCTGGTTTCAAGTTTACATTTGATTTGACAATATGATATGGTTCCTCTGTTAAATCCATATTTATGCTTATTGCCTAATTACAAAACATTGTCAAGCACAGAAAAAATCAATCTTGCAAGCCAAAAATTCAAACTCTAGATTCGGTCACTGCTTTCATCATCCAATCAAAGTCTTACTTTACATGTACTTGGATGCAGCTGCAATTTTCACATGTGCCTATGGAAGTGGCTATATGGTCTTAAACCGTGCTATATACATGTACATGTATACAACTTCCTCAACAAACTATTAGAACCATGGTAAGGTCAACTCTCTTGTCTGACACACCTCTCTTTCATTTTTGTGTCTCTGAACAGCATTTTCTCTAACACGTCTCTGAAAAAAGAAGAAGCCCTGCTACCTTAAAAAAAAAAAGCACACAAAATGTCCATTATATGTGCAGGTAATACTAATCGTCACAATGTACATTTAGAAATAGAGTACACATAGTTTATTAACAGGAATTGTCAATAAAATTAGTAAACAGAAAAAAGTCATAAAATGACTAGGAATTGGATTTTCCTGATAGATAAAAGAATGCGTGACGGTGGTGTACATTTACAGGTAGTATGGGAACCGATTCCCGTAACAGGTAAGAACATGTACCTGTAATTATCATTAACATAATAACAAAAACATTTTAACTGAGTAGTTTCCACTGTGTTCCCACCCACTCTATCTACTCTCTTGCAACTTCTTTGTAAATTCTAATGGTTTTGCTAAAGGATGATCTTTTTTCTAAGATTTTATGTTGTTGTTACCTAAAGTTTCTTTTCTACTGATAGGTAAGGAATGGATCACGTCCTTCACAACTTTAGTGTCCTTTGGTATGTCATTATTACAGTGCGACAAGCAGCGCACAGCAGGGGCTTCTTTTCACTTGAGTTTTCTTAGGATGTGCAGTAACATGACCTTTCCTTCTGCAGTAACGTGACATGGCTGCCGAAGAGTCAGTAATTGGAGTCAACTATTACTTTCCCTCAAAAATTTAATTGTGACGTGTTCTTGCGATACACACTGTGCACGTGGTTCAGAGATACATGAGATGACCTTCAAGTAGTAATATTACCTTATTACAGGGAGATGAGCTTCGATCGGAACAACTCACTTGAGGGTTGTTGGCAAGACCACCACCCTCAACAAAACGTACAATTTTATGCCAAAATTTGTTGTTTTGGTCAAAATCAGACAGCATTTTTCGGAAAAAAACATCTGGGCTTTTACTCGCATCTGCACAAAACGATCTTTAGAAGTCGACAAGCTTTCATGATGCAGACTCCCGCGCCCTACGCATAGTGAACCAACAAATTCCTTCGAAGTTGAGACTGGGACCATACCAGTCAATCACAATGCACCACATACATGCAGTGCATGAAAGCCATGGAGAGATCATGCCAGTGTGGATCGCAGCAGATCTTTGTTTGCAAGATATCCAAGAGGTAGATTTCTGTATTAAGAGCTCATGGGACAAAAGAAGGTGCACTGTGACAACTTGAGAGAATGTCAGTCTAAAGAAATAATTTGAAGATGGAAAACAACTTGAAAACATACATGTACATGAATTGAACAGATACACATTTCACTAGAACTATGTATGTGAAATATTTGAAGTGAATGTACTAACGGTCCTTGCATACGTGTACATGAAATGTACCAATTCCTGAAGTACTGAGCTACAGTATTTAACATGTACATTGGTTTTTAGAAGTGTTCAAGCATGTAGTTTGGGCCTGCTTGGAAAGATTTTTAATTTTGAGGGAAGAAGAAAATTTTGAACACGTGTTTGAACAAATATCAGCAGTGGAAGGACACAATTAGCTTAGGATTAAATAAAGAAATCCTCAATTAGGACTCAATCTTGTGCTTTGCCACTGTAATTCTCAAGGTGCTTCAGTTCACGTCATAAAAATCCTCCTCATAATTTATGACCATGTCCTCATGGAAACGTTGCGTGCAAGTCATCATGAATGTTTTACATGTATGTGTGTACTCACAGTTCGGCATTCCAACAGCACATGCCCAAAATGAAGCCAATCCTGAGATCATTCAGATGCCCATGCAAGGTCTGCCCTATGCAAAGTCACATGCAAGCTTTGTTCCTAAATTACCTTTCATCAAGCCATCATTTTCAGTGGAGTGCCAAGAACCAAGAGCTCATTTCCCTCACAAACCACTTGCCCTCCATACATGTACATGTACTAATGAACGATAGAGCACCAAGCACTGTTACCCAATACACACAGCGAGTCACCTCTTCCAGCTGATCCATGCACAATATGATTGTATCTTTTCAGCAATTCAGCACTGTCGTCATCACTGCTTCTGCTGCATGGCTACTTTTAGACGATCCCACTGAGACCCCATTAATTGTTCAAGTAATAGAAGGGCTTAAAAGAACCCTTACAAAGGCAAGGGCAAGAAAGGAGCCTACAGCACCTGACATCTTATCACAGATGATGAAAATGTACGGAACTGACAGATTTGTTCAGAATGTAATGAACATTAGAACGTTGGCTATGGCTCTAATTTCATTCGTTGGGTTTCTACGATTTAATGAGCTTGCATCACTTAAGATGGACAATTTCAAGTTTCATCCTGTCATATGTTAATCCCAATAAGATCAAGCAAGACAGATGTAGTCATTGCCAGATCATTTACTGAAACTTGTCCAGTAGCTATGTTGGAGCTTTATATTAAGCTTGCGATTATTCAACTGGCAAACAGAGATGCCTTTGTATTTAGGAATTTAACAAAATTCAAAATTGGATATTTCTTGCATAAGAGTAACCAGCCATTGTCATATTTCAGAGTTAGGGAACTAGTTCTAAAAGCACTTTCTCCAACTGTGGAAGATGTTTCCAAAGTTTCATTACGTAGCTTGAGATCAGGAAGAGCCTCACTGGCTTCAAAGGCTGGTCTCACCGACAGACTGTTCAAGTGTCATGGGCGCTGGAAGTCAGCTAAAGATAGTAACGTTCAGGAGAGTTTCACCAATTCATTATCACTTTCTCAGAGTTTAGGTATCTAACATATACCCATTCTTTTTCAAGTTCATGCCGGTTGCTGAAGCTTGCACATATCAAATAGATGAGCAGGGTGTGTTATTTTGGTAGAAGAATTAATCGATTAATGTAGTTGTATTCAGTTGAGATCCGAGGTTAACTGTGAACAGGGTGTGACATACACAAATGCGTCACTTCATGCTTGCTAGTAGCAACGAAAACACGAATTTGTCATGTTATTATCACTTTATTTAAAATTCACTGTCGTATATAAGTAGAAGAGCAAGCCTTTTATTTACTTGATGATGATCATTGCTTAGCTAGTCTGAAAGCAGTGGATCACATAGATCAAGCAACATTTCCACTTTTCCCAAACAATGAAAAGACAGGTTTTTGTGGTTTTTCGTATCTGGCAACCACCAGAAGCAATAGATTGTTTCCCTCAATTGTAATTCAGATTAATAAGATGTATGACTATAAAAAAGATAATTTTGCGTATAAGAATTTTTACACTAAGCTTAATGTATGCCATTGAAATCAGGATTCATGGAATGGCAATTTTCAGCAACACCTGATAAAATATTGTTATGTTGAATCATGAGTGAAAGTAATGAAAGCTTACTGTTTGTAACATTAGCAGTTATCTATATAATTAAAGGTGGCAGGGTCATGCCGTTTGCTACAGCCCGCACATACATGTACCAAATAGATTAGCAGGGTGTGTTATTTTGGTAGATGATGGAATCAATTGATAAGAGATAACTTGGAGATGCCAAACTGAAAAAGGTACACATACCAGAACTGTGCATGTGGCTCAGTTTGAGTTGTACAATGTACAGCACCATTATATATCACCTTTATAAGGAAAACTGTTGAAAACAATTTAGCTTATGAGCACTTCCTCCAAATTAGTCATTTACAAATCAGTGTTAGTTGTCCATATAAACATGTAAAACCTGGGGCACATTCAGTAATACAATACTATGTATATGTATACATACATGTACTATCCACCATAAAGATATCAAATACCGCAATACGTATTGCACTACTAAATGTGCCCATATTTCTGTTGAGTGTCTTTTGATCAGATCTGATTAATCATCTCAGTGCACACCAGACCCAAAAGAAACTTTAACAAGCCTTTTTTAAACTAGTTTGATGGGCGAGTTAACTTTTTCTTTTAGTTGCCCGCAGGAGTTTTCCTAGCCCACTGGACATTTTTGGCTAAAAACCAATCCTGACTGGCTTTTCTACTTCCTTATTTCAACTTTTACCATGCAGTCTGGCTGTGAATTTAAAGGATTACTTAAAGTGGAGGATGAAAATGGAGGAAGATCAATGTCATAACGTTTTATTCATCCTTACAAATATGAAAATGATAGTTTCAAACAGGTAGCCCACCAGGCAAGTTAAAAAATACATGTGACAAGCCCACACCATTTTGACTAGAACTTGTAAGCTGGTCTAGTGTTAAAGTCGAGGCCTGAACAATTATATGACAGGGGAAGAAGGGGAGAACCAAGAAGTTAAACACCAATCCCAAGCCTAAACTTTACAGTTTAATACCAAAAATATTAGTTTGGCATGGCCATGTCTACTGCCAGTTACATGTATTGCAATTCATGCAGTTAGTGTCAAAAGCATTGTTGCATGCAGAGTTACATGTATCTTTTCCACCATACAATCTCACCAAGAATATGAACAGTCATTAATTTGAATTATTCAACTCTTTGGCAGTGAGATAAAGTGTCAGTGAAAGAAAAAATAGCAACAGCAAAACAGATTAACACATTCTGAGGAACAAAAACAAGACCAGTGTCAAACAATGCATTCAGGCACATTCATGTGCTTTAAACATGCTTTATTCTGACTCAGAGGTACCTGTACATGCACAAGTACCTGCCGTTGAAAATGATATGCAGTCACATCTGGATCACTGCAAACCATACCTGCCACATTTTGCATTTTTGAATAACAGTACCAGCACAGTTTTTAAAGACAGCCAATTCCACAAAGCAGAATAACAAAGCAAATTCAAACCAGTTATAAACCAATAAAGTGCACCTACAAAACACTAAAAGATGCATTTTAAAGGAATGAAATTTGGGGAAATGCACTGTGTCTTGGTAGTTGAGAATGAGTCAGAAAGAAAATACATGTACACAAGCATTACAATCATCATCAATACTGCTACTACAAGGCAAGGGCACAGTTAATGGTGAAAATGTTGAATGAAAAAAAGGCCGATATGTGCAATACGCGGTTTCATTGCAGAGAAAAAAAAAGACTTCAAATGGAACCTTTTCCTTGGAGAAGACCTGTATCTTCCTGTGCACCATCAGTTGTTGTTGATGCATCCAATTCAGAGGATGGAACTTCTGAAACTAGAATACAAATGTATGTTTGGCAACTTACATGAACAACTCTATTCTGTGCTCGCTCTTCACATCCCTTCCACCCAGTCAGTTGAACAAGACAGATATAATATCCCTCATGACTTTCTTCTGCAGTGGACTCCTAAGTTATTTGAAATTGTACAATGCTGGAATATATCCCAATTATCTGATTGGAGGGTTGTCAGTCACACAAGACATGAATTACCCAGTATAATCAAAGGCAGACCATTGATGTATTGCACAGACACAACAGGTGCAGTTGCAGTACTTCACAAAAATACTAACAATTTCAGGCAGCATAGATAAGTGCCAGACTGTTCCATTTTTAGTTAGATAAACGCAATTTCTGAACTTGTACATGTAAGTGATGGTCACAGCCTACCGCGTGCCATAGTGCATGTACGAACTCAATTCCAGTGAAAATCAACAGAGGGTACTCTGCGAAAAGAGATTTGCATAGTGAAATTTATGAATGAATGTCTCCGCCCAGCAGCAGCCCAACGTCCTGGAAATTTGTGTGTGAAGATTATGTATGATATTGTATTCATGTTATTAAAAAATGAGCAAACTTGGCTTCTTGATAATAAAAAGATTGCGGTAATTTAATTTCAGTTTCCAAAACGAAATTAGAAAAGAAGCAAAATCACTTCCCTTTATGAACCCAAACTCCCGAAAAAGGCAGATACTCAATTTTCCTGCACTTTCAGGTAACCTTTTAACCCTCCTCTGCCGGCCCATACCAAGAAGAAAAGGAAGCAGGGGTGGCAACTAGGACAAAAAAAGGTCAAAAACTATGCCTCTGCTGACCATCTTTGGACACAAAGATGACATCATAGATATTTATGCTTCTTGAAAATCTTTGAATTTTGACCAAATAAACAAAGTTTGGCATAAAATTTTACATTTGTTTAGGGTGGTGGTCTTGCCAACAACCCTTAAGTGAGTTGTTCCAATCGAAGCTCATCCCCTGGTACTAAGATAATATTACTACTTGAAGGTCATCTCATGTATCTCTGAACCTGCAATTTTGCTGTTATGGCAGTTAGCTACAGCTGAACAAACTTCACCAGTTTAGCCAGATCGCTTGGATAGGCCTACTCACTTTGTTTGAACTTGTGGGACAATTTTGAACATTTAAGCTCTCCAATGGTAAAATGAAGTTCATTTGGAACTGGCCAAAATGTTTTTTAAAATTTGTTCAGTGTTTCTGTGCGACTTTTGTACGTAATTGAGTGATGCTGGCTGGGTTGGGTATTTAAAAATTGCGGCTGTGTCATGCTTAAGGCTTAGTCGTTCTGGGGTGAAAAATAGTAAAAGGCGAAGCCTACATGTACTTTTTTTGTGAACCTCAATGGCAGGATGAAATTTAAGCTGATTATTGGTCATGTGCTACCTGTCTGTAGCTGTAGTGTACGCATGCCCAACCCAGAACTGATACCCAATTTAAACTTGAGCAAGAGAAGTTTTACCATCAGTTTCAGTGTCTCTAACTTGAAAGTGCACATACTGCAATAAGTCCTTGCATGTTAGTAAAGTTGCATTGCTTTTATGTGGACTGTGCATGTGAAACAAGTGTAATTTAAATTATCTGGTCATATACCAGCTTATTAAATATTCCAAAATTATAAAAATTTATGCCTTTCACCATTTTTGGGGGCATGCTTTGGGATTTTTTTCCTTTTTTATTAGGAGATGTATTAAAGGAGTACTAAAAACTGGGTAAAAGCTAACTTTTGTTAAACTTCTCTAAACCTACACTAAAAGTTACAGACCAGTATCATAGGTTTGTGCACAGGGCATTAAGTACACATTGTGAACAGGAAATGGAATTCTTTCCAACACTTGCAAAAAAGTTTCAATTTTCGAGTACAAGTCCTATGACAACAAACATTTGGTAAAAAACTACAACCCAACTACAACCCCTTCACGCCGGGACTCGTTAAAACACGCCGTAAAAATTGAGATCCTCAGCCCGCTTTTCAGCTATTATTCTCGGCCCATGCTCGAGTGAACACGGTGAAAGAAGGCAGACCCTGGCTCTTGTGTATATGGTAATTGGTCTTTATGTGTAGCCCAGAAATGAAAAGACAGAATTTGCATCATAATCACCAGCTTCACAATAGTCCCCAATTTGAAAAGAGGCAATGAGAATGTGGAAGCTTGAGTAGAGCCGCATGCCACCGAACAATCTGCCTTTTCACAGTGTAATTCAAAGCGTGCAGAGCACGCTGGGCCACAAACTGAGAATTTGTGGTTTGGCAGGTGGCCAAGCGAGGCTGGAATTCTTGGAGTCGGCTTTCAGAAAGAAATTCCCGTGGAGAAGGGGTTAACAAAATCAACTCATTCAAAATGGTTTTGATGGGTATTAAGCAACCAGTGCAGATCACTTCCTTGGGTGTACAGTGACAACTGGAAACCACAAGACTTGTCACAGACCCAATTTAGTGGTCTGATTAACTGATTGCATGTGACTTACTGTAATCCTGGTATACTCATAAAGGGTAACAGTTAAGCCTTGATACATACACTGGTATTGAAAGTATCCTTAGCCCTCAAAACTCCTGTTGTTCAATTACATTTTGCAATATCCTAATTGAGGTGAGCTGTACATGGCATATTGTCTAAGCACAATTTTCTGTTGCTTTTCAGGTTTGCACACTTACAAACATTCGTTCCAATTTATTTGCCTGGAACCTTTATGACATCTTTATCTTGAGTCCCTGAACTACTTGTAGCTACAACATGCCTATGTGAAATAGCCTGTAGTTCAGTTGCATCACAAGCCCTATCAGTCCCTAGATACTTTTTTACATTTTTTTTTTCAAATTCCCTTGGTACTTTGTTTTCTGCTTCAAGTATCTCTGTTTCGCTTTTCAATTCTTCCAACTCACAGGCGATTCTCCTGCATGTACTTCCTTTGTGCTTTTTTCCAATGGTGCATTTGACTCTCTGTTGGTAAAAAATGAAATTGCTGATGCTCTGTCCCGCTTACAGATGCCAGGGTTCAAGGAACTAGCCACCGGGGCAGCCCACCATAGCTCTGAACTCTGAACAGCCTTCTGGATTCTATAAACACAGAAACAATATGTCTGCTGGGAGCCTCGCGTTCCAGCAGCACTTGGAGAGTGTACAGAAGCAAGACGGAACAGTTCTGTACCGGACACAAAATGGGACAGAGGGGTACCATTAATCCATGTACCAGAAACCAGGCGGCCCATCACAAACACACAATGTCATCAGTTCCACCACATCATCCAGCAATGAGGCTGCACTTTCTGGTGCTATGTTTTTGCTTGCCTTCTTTGGGTTCCTACTGATGGGAGATTGACAGCACCTACATGTATGAAGTTGAGTGACTGCTCATGGATTTTGAATTACAATAGTATCATGTTTGTGGGTGCTAATCACAAAGTGATAGTTGCCAAACTTAGATTCTTTATGACAGACATAGAGGGATTCAGTGGATTGGCACTTTCACAGGCAGCACATGTCCATGTTCTGCCTGGTGAATGCCATACTAAAGTATATCTGCAAGTGCAGCCATCAATCTTGATAAGGCCCTTTTTTGTTTACTTTGACAGTTCTTACTGCCAACCAATTTAACTGCATGCTGCAGTCCTCCCAGGAGGGCCGAGGCATGTCCTCTGTGGGGTTTAGCTCCCATAGCTTTCACATAGATGCTGCTACAGGTACATGTACCTCAGCTGCCCTCAACTATATATCAGGTCCCACAAATCCAACAACTGGGCCACTGGTCAGGCTTCGAATTACCCAGGTGCAAACCTGCACCAGTGCATGCAGTTTTTTCAATGTGCATGTAATTCCAACAAATTACATGTACATGTAGGTGCATGACGTGCATGCATTTTTCCCAGCCTTGAATTTTTATGTAACCGTTAGTGTTAGTGCCAATTTGTCCAGATTATCATACCCAAGTTTCAGTTATTTCCAATAAATTTGACAATACAATAATTATAACAGTAATTTTGTTTTGTGTGTAGTTTTACCATTTTCTAAATACCCGGTGCGCTGTGGAGCCACCTCCGGCTGGCCTCTAGTAGCCCGCAATATCAATAGCGCGATGTGTCGATCGTGCATGCTGGCTTTTTTGACAGCTGTTGCACGTGTCTTCTACATGTTTCTTCTAAAAATATTCCTTCCAAACAAGCTGGAAAACCAGTAATGATTGGCTTGTGTATGACAGCGTACATAAATCCATGTTTTGCACATATTGCCAGACATATGACAAATCAGGGAAAAAGATTGTTTTTTGTGAGGGAGGATACAAGTCTTTGCGCTGGTCCAACGTTAAAGCTCACAAACTGAGTGAAGTGCATATAAAGGCCAGTGATGCCAAGAAAGTATCAACTTTGGAGAGAAAGGACAGACCAACGGAGAAGCAACTCTTAAAATTAGGAGATGGGGAAGTGCAAAGAATGAAGAAATATTTCAGGACAGCTTTTTACATAGCTCAAGCTGGGAAACTTTCACACAGATTTTACGGATCTAATGGAACTGCAGGTAGCAAACTTTGGCACCCAGTCCAAAAGGGAGTATGAAACGTACCTGAATGACAAAGCATGTCATGAATTCATCAAATGTATTGCAGAAGATTAACTGGACAAAAATGCATCCCACATCACGGAAGATTCCTTCATTAGCATTCTAGGCGATGGCAGTACCGATAAAAGTTACACTGAGCAGGAAATTATCTATGTGACTATGTTTACGGAAAGTCGGCCAGTCACACAGTTCATCACACTGCATTCTGTTCCAAATGCATCAATGCAGAACATGTGACAGAAGCACTCAAAGAAACGATGACTGAGAAACTGAAGCTGAGAGATTGGACACACAATGTTGTCTGCTGCTGTTTTGATGGTGCTTCGGTCAATTTGGGTGGCACTGTCTGGTGTAGCTACAAGGTTGGCAAAGGAAGCCCCACACATTGTACGTGTGCACTGCTGTGCCCATCGTCTAGAGTTGGC